GAGATGGGGGTCTCACTCTGTAGCCCAGGCTGGAGTGCAGTTGCGCAAACTCAGCTCACCGCTACCTCCGCCTCCTGGGTCCCTGTTCAAGCAATTCTCCTACCTCAGCCTCCCAAGGAGCTGGGATTACAGGCACTAGCCACCATGCCCAGCTAATTTTTGTATTTTTTAGTAAAGATGGGGTTTCACCATGTTGGCCAGTCTGATCTCGAACTCCTGACCTCGTGATCCACCTGCCTCGGCCTCCCAAAGTGCTGGGATCACAGGTGATCACCACCGCGCCAGGCCAAAATTTTTTATAGAGATGGGATCTTGCTTTGTTACCCAGGCTGAGCTCAAACTCCTGGGCTCAAGCGAACCCTGGGCTTGGCCTCCCAAAGTGCTGGCATTACGGGCATGAGCCACTGTGCTCGGCCTCCCCGACTTTTCTGGAAGGCTCTGGACCCCTGAGCCCTGGCCGCCCGCGACTCACCGACGTTGGTGGGGAAGAGGTCCTCGTTGTTGATCTGCGCCTCGATCCAGTCCATCAGCAGGTCCATGTACCGGGGCGCGGAGAGCGCCGTGGGCTTCCGGAACTTGTGCTCGTCCTGCCAGCGGTACTCGTACTTGGGGCCCCCCGACATGACGGGGCAGGACTGCTCCGTGCAGCCGTCGCTGATGGTGCCGTAGATGAGGTTGACGCGGTTGAAGAAGTCCACCACGTGCACGGCCACCCAGTCGTGGAGGTCCTCGCCTGGGGGCAGCTGCACGGCCAGCCGCAGGTCCAGCCCGGCGTTGAGCGACGCCTGTGCCTTCTTGTGCAGCTCGAAGCGCTGTGTGCCCGGCTCGAATTTGCGCTTGGGGCGGAACGTCTTGTCCTTGTTGAAGACTTGCTTCAGGAAAGGGTTGGACATCTTGGTGACCGACGCCTGCTGTCCCGGAACGCTTCTGCAGAGGGGTCCTGGGTCAGCTGGCTGGGGGCGTGGACCAACCCGGGAGAACACCAAACACTCACCACGCCCCACAGATCTCCCTGTGGACCTGAAATATACAGGGAGTCAGGACCTGCTGGAGGCAACAGAGCTCCCCAGAAACTCGTGCTGGGGGCACAGGTGATAGGATTTGTCTTTTGTTTTGTTTTGTGCTTTGAGACAGAGTCTCGCTCTGTTGCCCCAGCTGGAGTGCAGTGGTGCGATCCCGGTTCACTGAAACCTCTGCCGCCCAGGCCCGAGCGATCCTCCCACCTCAGCCTCCTGAGTCGCTGGGACTACAGGCACACACACCGCCACACCTGGCTAATTTTCTTTAGTTTTAGTAGAAACGGGGTCTCGCTATGTTGCCCAGGCTGGTCTCCAACTCCTGGGTTCAAGTGATCCTCCTACCTCTGCCTCCCAAAATGCTGGGCTTACAAGTGTGAGCCACTGCGCCCAGCCACGGGTGGCAGGGTTCAAAACATCCCCTGGGCTTTTGACTTTTACCCATAGGGGGCCACCTCCTCAGTGGACAGACCGGAACTGCATGTGGCGAGGCACCTCACAGCAGAAGGTGCGGACAGCTGGGCCCCAAGAGCCCGCAGGGGTCTCATCCTCCCAGTGCCTGATCTGGGCCTGGACTCCTCCTCCCCGGTGCTCTGGGGCTTCAGTGTGGGGGGCAGGCTAAGACGCAGGTTACAGGGGACTGTGTGGGCCAGACTGCAGCCGCCACAAAGGAAGCCATGCCCCAGTACCCGCAGCCTGTGTGTGGGAGCCTGGGTGGAACAGGGTCTTGACGGGACGTCATCCTGTGTTACGTGGGTGGGCCCTATGGTCAAGGACAAACGTTCTCATGAGCGAGGCGGATACGGGGAGATGGCCTTGTGGGAGCGGAGGCAGAGATGGGGGTGATACTTCCACAAGCCAAGCATGGCCCAGGACGCCAGCCACCACCAGGAGCAAGGAGAGGCCTGGCAGAGTCCCCTCGGCCTCAGAGGGACCCAGCCCTGCCCATGCCCTGGTCAGGGAGGTGCGTCCCCAGAACTGAGAGAAGGAGTCTCCGTTGTGTCGGCGTTCTCCCCATGTCACTAAGCCCATCACTGGTCACTGGGTCAGGGACCCCTGCGGTCAGTGTGACCTCTCTTCGCTTGGTTACATCTGCAAAGACCCCCTTCCATATTGGGTCACATGGTGAGGTGCCGGGTGATTCCGGGGGGCGCTGTACAGCCCAAGGTACCGTATGAGTGAGGAACCCCCCAGGAGCCGGCCCACGTCTCGTGCACGCCTGAGTGGTGACTTGTGAGACGCCTGCAGGTTGCTCTGGGGCGGGGGCCCTGGCGTCCCCTAATCCCCTGAGAATCCTCAGGAGACAGCGACCGAGTTCATCTGTCATGGGGTGCAGGGATGACCTGGGTCACACGCTGTGCCTGTGCCGGGCTCATGCTCGCCACGCAGGGCCTGTCATGGCCAACAGACTGTTATTGTCACTGCCAGGATGCTGGTGCTGTGCCAGGCCCAGCGTGGATGCAGACCCCACCCTGCTCTGCTGGGTGCACCTCCTGGACGGGCAGACTTGACTGTGACACTCGGGGCCAGGCCCACGCAGGGCGCTGGGCAGGGCGGGGGTCCCCACCCCAGCACAAAGAGGACCCAGACGCAGAGGGAGTCAGAGAGGGGAGGGGGAGCGAGCCCACGCCTGCCCGGGCCCACTGGGCTCCATGCAACCCTCACAAGGAATACACACACGTTCTTCACTCCCCAGTAACTCCCAACCCCCGGCACTTTTTTTCTTTTTGAGGCAGAGTCTCGCTCTTGTACCCAGGCTGGAGTGCAGCGGCACGATCTCAGCTCACTGCAGCCTCCACCTCCCAGGTTCAAGCGATTCTCTTGCCTCAGCCTCCTGAGGATTGCAGGCAGTCACCACCACACCCGGCTAATTTTTGTATCTTTAGGAGAGACGGGGGTTTCACCATGTTGACCAGGCTGGTGTCAAACTCCAGACCTCAGGCAATCCGCCCACGTTGGCCTCCAAAGTGCGGGGAGTATAGGTGTGAGCCACCTCGCCTAGCCGTGTCCAGGAGTTTGAGGCCAGCGTGAGCAACACGGCGAGACCTAGACTCCACAAAAAAACTTAAAACTCAGCTGGGATGCCTGTAATCCCAGAACTGAGGAGGGAGGATCGTCTGGGCCCAGGAGCTCGAGGCGGCAGTGAGCCACGTGCACACCGCTGCACTCCAGCCTGGCCAAAAGAGTACGACTCTGTCTCAAAAAATAAAAAAATAAAATAAAAATAAGACTTTTCGATCCGCCGTCTGCACCTCAGGTGGGGCCGCCACCAAAATGCAGATTTTCGTGAAAACACTTACGGGGAAGACCGCCACCCTCGAGGTTGAACGCTCGGATACCATAGAAAATGTAAAGGCCAAGATCCAGGATCAGGAAGGAATTCCTCCTGATCAGCAGACTGATCTTTGCTGGCAAGCAACTGGAAGAGGGGCGTACTTTTCTGCAACATTCAGAAGGAGTCTACTCTTCCTTTGTGCTGGGACTTCGTGGTGCTGCTGAGAAAAGGAAGACGAAGTCTTACAGCGCCCCCAAGAAGAAGCAGCACAAGGGAAAGAGGGTGAAGCTGCTGTCCTGAAGTAGTACAAGGTGGATGAGAATGGCAAAATTAGTCTCCTGCGTTGAGGGCGCCCTTCTGATGACTCGGTGCTGGAGAGTTTACGGCAAGCCACTTTGACAGACATTATTGTGTCAAATGCTGTCTGACTTACTGCTTCAACAAACCTGGAGACAAGTAACTGAGTTAATGAAAGACATGAGCTAACAATAAATAAATAAATAAATAAAAATAAGGTGTGGGCAGAGCTAGATCCTTCTGGAGGCCCCAGGGCTTAGGGTTAGGGTCCCCCCACACTCTATAGGACAGCCCCACCAGAGAATGATCCGGACCCAAGTGTCCACAGGGCCAGGGGGTCAGGGGAAGAGATGTGCATTGTTTGGAAGAAAAGCAAGTGAGAGCCGGGCGCGGTGGCTCAAGCCTGTAATCCCAGCACTTTGGGAGGCCGAGGTGGGTGGATCATGAGGTCAAGAGATCGAGACCATCTTGGTCAACACAGTGAAACCCCGTCTCTACTAAAAATACAAAAAATTAGATGGGCATGGTGGCGCGTGCCTGTAATCCCAGCTACTCAGGAGGCTGAGGCAGGAGAATTGCCTGGACCCAGGAGGCGGAGGTTGCGGTGAGCCGAGATCGC